TGTATTTTGCACTCAACATCTATACAATTAATAAAACTCGAATGTCTGTATATAATACTAGCATGAGCGCGACTTTTTCCGCTCGAAAATAAAAAAAAACTGTAGCCTGTGTTACTTACTGATATTGGTGCTTTTTAATGGTTAAAGAATTCTTGAAATCGGTCCAGCAGTTTTTAAATTATTTCAATACATACAAAAATACAAATCTTTCTTATTTATACTAGTATAGATTTAGGAAAAAAATTAATAAATCCTCACAATATTATATATTTGCGTTGCTTATACTGACCCAATTTGTAAAATTATAGGCTGCCTGTTTGTCTGTCTGCAAGGCAATGTTTATTCAGGGTAATCTCTAGGAAAATTAAGCTGATATTGACATTGAAGAAAAAGTAACTGGTTGGGTAATAAATATATTACTATATCCGCGCTGATAAAATCACAGGTGACCATGTGAGTATATAAATATATTACGGATTGTTTCAGACGACGACGGTACACAGAACGTGCGTTTACTAACAAAAGTGTTGATATCGCACGGCGTGTGGACGGAGCCGTGCGGCGTGGACATCTCCATCTGCCTGGCGGTGGAGGAGCCGAGCAGCCGGGAGCCCGCCGCGCTCGTGGAGCTGTGCCGCCCCGTGCGCGTCACGGTCGCACCCAAACCCATCAAGAGAGGCATATAGAACATAAAGCCGGAAATACACATGCTAATAACATGAACCATACGAGCATAATGGGTATATACATGCCAGTAAAATATCAACGAACGCAAGTAACGAGACATGTGTAGCTTCAAACCCTCCCTAGACCATCCGCTCCTTTATATGCATATAGCTATCATAAAAAAATGTTGTGCTAGCACAAGATACTGGCATATAAGATATAGTTCACAAATGCCTATAGCTGGTCTATGGCTGGCAGTAACAGACATCCAAGTGTGCCAGCTACACTGATGTTTGGCACATATGAATTTCCGTATTTTTGTCAAGGTAAAAATACCTGTTTAATATTTGATTCTCACATTTAATATCAGACATAAACAGAATTGACTATGTTCGAAGAGAATTGTCTGGTTTGATACTTCATATATTTTTCAGTGTTTACACTAAAAATATAGGCATACAAGTTATTTTATTTATTTGTATGTGTTGTATATACGATTAAGGTATACAAATAAACTAAGATTAAACATCCGAGACTTATTTATTATTTCTACTATATGTTATTTGCACATAAAAGCAATACTTTATTCATTCCAAAAACATCTTGGTTAAAATATTATGAATATACACTTTTCTTAATTCATAATTATGTTTAGATTATCAGATTAAAAAAACCATCCTTTCCACATATATTTATTTACAGCTATTCATGTATACATTTTTTTTTGTACATTTCTTTTTTAGGAATTACACATTATATATGATTAATAAGCGGAATATTTTTTGAATATGAATAAAATTTTTATGTTAACATGTAATAAGAAATTGAATAGTTGATGTCGTTTATCGCAGAAAACTAATGAATAAATCTTTATAATTTCTTATTGTTTATTACAGTAGTAGTAATGATAGCAATGTGAGTATAAAATTGATTATTACTTGTTAATACATTGACTGATTTTCTCTTATAAAAGTGAACTTGTCGGGTGAGGGTTTATTCTGTATCACATTTTTGACTTTCTTGTTTATCTATATCCAGTAGTTCTAAGCGTGCAGTGCAGTGGTAGATGAGCTGCTTAACACCTGACATCCATGTGCATACCGCACTTACATGATCAACCATTAATGATTTATGGATTTCATCAGCTTTAGCTGGCTGATCATCTCGAAGAGCTGTAAAATAATTTCATTAAAATTTTAATATAAACTAGTCTTGTGTTAAAATTGAAAAATATATAATTAAATGAATGGACAAACTCAAGTTGCCATGTTTTAATATTGGCTCCTAACAGAGCAAACTGATCAGGCCAAGGCTGTCACAAATTGTATGTAAATGAGAGTCACAATAAAGTAATATTTATATATCTTACCATATGCCAGTTCTTTCATCTGAACTTGAATGCTTTTATTTAGTTTTCCATTTAACCACATATCTTCCATAACATTTATTCTCTTTTTAACATCGTTTCCTTTCGAACCCAAGTCACCACTATCAACAAATCGCAATAAAATATCTTTAACTTCCTTGAGTGTACTTTCACTATCAATTTCAATATCTTTATCATTTCTATTAATTTGTATGCTTTGTGTTGGGCTTGGTTGTGCCATTGGGACAGGCATAGGAAGTAAATTTGCTGGAGGACTAGACACTGGTGTCGACCCAGTACCAGATAGTGGAAAGGCGACTCGTTTGTTAAGAAAATTGCGTGGCCTATTAGGTGTCGTTTGTTGAGCGCTATACGAAAACTGGGGTGGATCATTCCAGCCAGGATCAAAAGGCACTAGAAAATAATGCAATAGTTAACGTTGATTCTCCAGATGTTAACATTGATTATTAAAAGGCAAACACTACTCACCTTTAGTGCCGTGAACAGGTGTATCACACTTATCCATTTTATTCTAAAATTCTTTTTTAATGGCAAAAAAAACTATGTCTTATGCTAAGATATACTATTCTTAGCTTGTACTTCTTAGCTAATGTCTAATTCCTACAAGAAATTACGAAATACATAATTTCATTAAATTGATAAACACAGCTGTTTTGCTGTTTTGTCACTTTTGGCAAAGAGTATAATGCTCGGAACACATTTTTCACTTTTAGGATCGCTTTATGTTGGTTGTTTCTCTGTGCTTTTACCTAATCTGTCATCTTGTTGTCAGATATGTCAAATTAATGTCAGCTGTCATTTGCACAAGCACTAGAAAATCGGTGTTCTTCGGTTATTGCTATTTAGTTAATCAAAAACGCGATGGGGTTTTATACAACTTTCAATGTAATTTTTAAATCAAAAATGCAAATAATCCTACTATTCGTTTCTGTATATATGGTTCAAATTTCTAGCGGTAAGTACATCCCTGCAAGTCCATTGTTTATCCGCAACATCTTAACACTTACGTGGCCTTATGATATGGGTGGATATTTATTATTAAAAAATATTTTATGACTAAAATGTAGTTGCTTATTCATTAAATTGTCACAATTTAATCTTTTCTAGCTTCTAAAGCCGAATTTGTAACGTGTGGAACTATTTTAAAATTAGTAAACACAGACTTAAAGTTGCGGCTTCATTCCCACGATGTTAAATACGGTTCGGGATCAGGGCAGCAGTCGGTGACTGCAGTTGATGTGTCGGATGATAATAATAGCCACTGGCTTATCAAGCCTATCTCGGGGGAGACTTGTAAACGAGGGTAAGTGTAATTGGAAGAATTGTATAGTTTAAGTTTATAGATATCCCAATGCCAAACACTATTTATGGCAACCATGACATATTATTATCATAATTTTCTTTTCAGAGCGCCAATAAAGTGCAATACAAACATTCGTCTCCAGCACATTTCTACTAAGAAGAACTTACACTCCCACTACTTCTCTTCACCACTGTCTGGAAATCAAGAAGTTTCATGTTATGGTGATGATGATGGTGAAGGAGACTCTGGAGATAACTGGACTGTAGTCTGCAACAATGACTACTGGAGGAGAGATACACCTGTGAAACTAAAACATGTTGATACAGCAGTGTAAGTTATTAATTAAATATGTTTTTACCTATTGTGAAATTTATGGTAGCTCTATGGTTCTAAATAAGAGAGCCTTATGACTACTGGCTAATAAAGGTTGCATTAAAAATTCTCTAAAACTAATTCTATAGCTGGGCTATTTGTTTCCATATATGACTTTCTTTATGTATTTTTTTCAGATACCTTGCTGGATCTGGGCGAACATTTGGACGTCCAATAAGTGGTCAGGGAGAGATAGTTGGTGTCAGTTCACAGTATGGTACATACACAGACTGGCAGGCTAAGGAGGGACTATTTGTTCATCCTGGTGATTTATTGCCACACCAGAATGCTATTCATACAGAATTATAAATATATTTTAGTGTAATTTTATTTAAGTTTGACACTAATGTGTAATTGCAGTTTCAAAGTGCATAGACAATTTGTGATTTATGTTATCTCTTCACCTTTGTGTACTGCTATGGAAGAAGATTGATAACAATTATACCTTCTGATACATCTGCACAAACTAGAAACATCTTATAAGATTACAAATAAATTATTTTTCAATGAGGAAGTTGTGTGATGAGAAATAAAGTTTCTTTTTTATATTATTCCATTTATTGAAAATATGACCTTCTATACCTGTTAAAAAAAGCAATAATATGACATTAAAATAAAATTCCTTACCAAAGAATATGTTTTTAGATCAAATATATTAAAAAATAAAAAAAAAATCGTTTTATTGTACTAAATCTTTATTGTTAAATGTTCATCATAGTAGTCCCTGTTAAAGGGAACTGTAACAAAATTTCGAATGTTGACAATTTTCAGTGCTTCAAGTTAGCATAGAGTTTGTAATAATACTGATTTTGAGCATTTGACTATTACTATTCCTTCTACATCTTTATAGAGAAATCTTATGTTTTTCCACAAAATAAAGGTTTAAAATGTTACAAAACATGCAAATATGTCTCTATGTTTTAAAGCACGGAAAACAACTAATAAAAAATTTAAATTTTAAAATCAAATTACAAAACTAAATAATTCTAAATGATTACAAATCAACTATATTATCATATAACCAGAGTCTGTCTCGGTTTAAGGGAATTTCCTCTTTTTCTAGGTCAGGTAATAAATCAATAAAACTTAAAACAATTCCAGAATAAAAAGGGCTGGTTTCTTATCTTAGGAAAGCTTTGGAGGCAAGCATACATTTAATTTACTGTGTTAACTTTAATTTATAATTAACAATTTCTTAAAAAGTATATTTTGAATCCTGTATATGTTTAAAAGGGCAATATAGTAACAAAAGTATTCTTCAATACTTATAAATTCGTAACTAAACTAAAATTCACAAATGACCACATAAATTAAAATAAAACTGAAAAACTGACACACACTTGTTTTGCATTTTAGAATATAATGCCAATTATAAAAATATATTAAAGATAAAAAAATAGTTTTTATTTTTCCCAATTATCCCAATAGTTGACATATATTATTATACCAAAAGTTGACAGAGGGTAATTTAATAGTTTTTGCGATAAAAAGAAGTCCATAGCACACATTAAAAAAAAAACAAAAACTAATTTATTGCCTATAATGTTGCAACAATGATAGGACGCTTTGAGAAACCCAATAATTTAAAAAAAAAACTATAAATATAATGTTTTGGGCTTTTGTCTGCAGACTTACTATGAAATTTAATTTAGTAAATTATTTAAAAACGAGGCTTATCCAATTGTACTGCAATTCATTATAACATTGTTAAGAATTCAAAGTTTCATCTAACAAAATGTCAACTGAATTTTTAAGTCTCTAAAGAAGGTTATCAATTTGTCCAATAAACGCGTCCCGAATAAATATTAGTTTATTTTCTACAATTATTTACTAATATAATAAATATTAGTTATTTAAGAAAGGCAGGTCCAGTATAAACTATTACATATATTATTTTAAAATACTCCTTTGGTACAATTATAATTATATAATCGTTTTTTTTTATTTAGTTTTAGAAAAAAGAAAATACTGCCACAAAAGTTAAGATAAGACACGAGTTGTATAAGAAAAGATATATATATTTTAAATTAAGTATCGGCTAACAACACATGTGATGTTTTCATTTGAAAGATTTGCTTATAAGAGTGCGCATACCTTCGAACTATACTATCGCACAGTTTAGTCTCGCTTTGATTCCTATGAGCTTACATGGAGGTGCATACTACTCGATTTTTAGTTGTGCAACTACAGTTGTATTGCTGCTAAAAAGTAGACTCGCACAACAGTTGTGCGATAGTTTAGTCACGGGTGTGCGCCAGCTCTAAATGTGTTTTTGATTAATGTGCAAGGAAATGAACAGTTTTGGCCAAAATTGACTATAATGAAATATGCTTTATGCACAGTTATTAATTTTAATATGAACACTTTTTAATAATTTACTTGCAAATGTACAGCACAGCTGTTATCAAACAATCTGAGCCAAATTATATTCCGGTAGCAGATATCAAAACATACTAATTTTATTTTTTTATATATTATTTTATTTACCTGTACCATCGTTAAAATACACTCATTATCAATGTACCATAGAGTTCACAAACTGTACTTTTACTGTAAAATTTAACTGTCAAAATACTAATATTGAAAAACATCTGTTTTTTTTAACAATAATAAACGAGTTGTCGAAATTTTTACACAAGCGTTTCAACAAATCCCTCTATCAATCCAATACGAGCAGGTAATTTAAATGAATTCACTGATTCACCTTTACTATTTGAAGATTGTCCAATTATCTTCAAAACCATGCACATCCCTAGTAACAATCGTCCATTGCCGACTAAACTAAAAACATTAAATTTGTACATTCAGATTTCATTTTCCGCAAAATTGTCATAAAAAAGGTATACTAGGGACCTTATACCAAAACTGGTGAATAAAAGATCCTGATTAATATAAAAATCAAGTCACTAACAGAGTTTCGTGGAGAGAACGCTGTTTATTTTCTCTAAAGCGTACGTGAGGTTTGTGTAGAGTTTCTTGTCGCAGCCATGCTCTTCTATGGTGCTGAACCTGAATGTACGGAAGTTCTTCTCCACATCGATGTAAGTGACGGCCTGCATCAGCGGGCAGAGTATTATCTTCGTGTGATCTTGGAAGTTGATCTGAAAAGAATCATAAATAACTATTGGTTAATTTTTAATTTAAAAACAACTGGACCACAGGAAATGTTTCATCTTTGGAATATGGAAAGAATTACGTAAATCGGTACCAAGAATGGTGTTCGAGGTAACAAACAGACGATTTGGGAACCTCCTCTCTTATATTTCGGTTAACTTAGCCTGTTTAAATGGATAGGATATAAATCATGGTATTTTTTGTTTGATTTCGCCATTTTGGCGCTGACAGATTCGGTATGCACTCGTAGTATGAGTTATAAAGAATAACTAACATCGAAGGGCGGGTTTAAATCGGCAAGAAACACTCAAACCTATCCATTGAATAGACATCAGTGGCCTTGTACACTATAATTAGTGGAAATCTTACCTGCAGTGTACCGTTGGTGAGGTACATGATAACAGCAAGCGTGGTGCGGAACCACTGGTGCAGATGCGGCAGTCGCGACAGGCCGTCACTCTCGCGCACTTGTACTGACGCTCCTGTAAACGGTTAAGCCATTCTTAAAGTGATCTAAACTTCGAGGGGTCAGGAAACTCGCAGGAGGAAATTTTTAACCGATTTTGTATGTTCTAGCCCTTATATTCGCTTATGTGTGAACAACAATAATGATTTGACAAAATTAACAACATATTTTAATGAATTCTACAACACAGATTTTAAAAAATCACTCAATTATCCTTGCACTCAACCTGATATCGTAAAATGATTAAGTGGGTTATAAGGGCAACAGTTCGGGAACTTTTGTGTAGTGATTTTTGATTTAATTAAATAAAAAATGTCACCTTATAATATGTAAAACAACAAAGATGTAACAAATAGCAATAAAAATGGTTAAAAAGTGCTGCTCACCCGCTTTCATAAGGTGTTCAGTCATATATCTGCGGAAGTATGAGAGTAGTTTCATCTTCTTGTCGAGCTCCGCCGGGTAGTCAGTCATCGTCATATATTTTTCGCTGCTATGCCGGTCAATGTAATGCACATTCCTATAATATAAATACCAAAAAAATATTTAAACGGATATAATTGTACAAGTGTATTTTTTATAATATAGTATTTACATCGTATTTACATATCGATTAATACTGCATTATTTACATTAGTAATTTCGGTAGTTTTTCAACATTGGACTCTCACTGTCTAACACATATACAGAACATTATTTCACAGTATTTCTTGTGTCTATATTTTGTCATATTAATAATAAGATATGTTAGTATATTTTGTAGTTGTGTTTCGACAGTGGAAGCCTGCGGTGACAGTAGAGTACTAACACTCCGTTGGCGAGCATGATGAGCTTGGTGGTGTCGTTGAACATGACACCGACGCTCTCGTCGCAGAG